GTCTCGGACATCACTCCTTTGATAACTCTCCTAAGTCCCACTGTCAGTCTCTTGACGAGCAAATTGACTTGCTTAAAAATTCTGATAAATCCACTGATAACTCACAAAATGACTCTAAAATTGCCGACCTTAAATCCCAATTAAAAGATCATATTGCCAAGTATCATTCCCTTTCTGAGTCTGACAGGACTGCCCAGCTTAAGGACATCCACTCCAGGATGGTGTCTCTTGCTGAGCTCAGTGGACAACTTGGGAAGTTTATTGGCCCTGAGAAGGCTGTTACTAAAGCAATTAATGATGGCATTAACATCATTATTAACAGTGATAATGACTTCAAAAGCCTTAGAAAGTCTCCGTCTTCGGCTTCGCAGTCTGTCGCTGCCGTGTCTGCTGGGCTTATAAATGGTGGTGAGCTTGAGAAGGAAATTCAGCATTATGAAGCACTTAAAAAGCCTCTTGAAGATAGACAAAATGATAAATTTTCTCCCCTCTCCTCTGAAGATTCTCGCCTTTTATCCTCTCATCAGTCCAAGTTGGATGCTCTTGAGAAGCTGAGTAAGCTTAATGAGTCTTTGAATTCTGTTAATAATCAACATGATGATGTTTGTAAAAACCTTTTAGATAACCTCTGCACAGGCCTCGAAAAATTTCTCGGCTTCCAGAATGGTAATTACACCGGAGAAGGAATTGTGTACTCGGACCTTGACAGGCTGTGCGACGGGGTGATGGCGTTCTTGCACGGGGTGCTTAGTGGAGTGAAGGATGATGAGAGCGTTAGAACTTATGATAAAAATAATAATCCTAATATTACTTCAGTTATTTCCTTTCTTAACACTTCTGTAGGTAAAGGCCGTGAGGCCTTCGAGGAGGCCGTGCGTCAGGTAAGTGAGTGGTTGAAATATTATAATGATTATGTTGCAGGTTCGACGTCCAATGTCACAATTGAATTAGGTAAGCTACTTAATGATTTATCATTTGATTCAGGTAAATATGTTCAAGAAGTTACAAGTCAAGAGAGCAAGCCACTCAAGGAGCAACTGACCAAGTGGACCAAGACTGTCGAGGACATTGATACTCACATTAACGACAACATACTCTCTAATGTTTCTAAATTAGACCCCGCACTTAGCGATAAGATACTGCGTAAAATTGAGCCCGTGCAAAAGGTGGTGGCGCAGTTGGGGAGGGTGGCTGGGACTGATGCTGTCATCCAGCAGGCCACGTATGTGGACAGGACACTGGTCGAACAGGAGGTGCTCTTACAGAATACGTTGAAGCATGATTTTGATGTCATAAATGACAAAATGGGTACACTGGGACACAGGAGGAAGAGAGGGTTTGAAAACATTAATAAGTGTTTGGATTACGCTAAAAGGCTTGTTGGCCAATACATCGATGCGTTTGACGAGAAGTACAAGGAAACAATTTTGGGGAAATTTGGTAATATAAAATCCCAAATATTGCACGTTGATCCCAAAAGTACGGAGGCCGGGGCCTCGGGCGATATGTCTATTCTCCGGAAGGAAATTAAGGACATCAGGAACCAGGTGATGGGATTGGAACTTGTTTATAAGACGGAGCTGAAGAGTATTAAAGCAAAAGTGGACGGAGCTGTGAATAGTGCTACGAGCCATCTGTCTAAGGTTGACGAAGCTGTTAAAAGAGATTTGGTAACGTTGAGGAGGAATATTGAAAAGGCGTTACAGACGTATGTCGAGCAGTTGAAGAGCTCAGGGATTAATAATTTGGGTGAGAAAGTGAAGAGTGATTTGGAAAGGTTAAAGGACAGGGTGATTTATATATTGAAGGAAGATGTTGGGGGAGTCATGAAAGAAATTAAGGACGAAGTCGGCAAAATTAAGGGTTCCAGGAGTGGAAACACAGGCCTTGATGGCATTAATAAGAAAATAGTGGAGGAGTGGGCTGCGAAGTTTAAGACCTTTGATGCTATAGTTCAGGGGTGGTTAGGAGATAATATTTTGGGAAAGAATAGAACAGTGGATGATTGTCTTAAACAATATATTCAGGACAACGATGGCCACTTGCTGAGCGGCATTACCACGCCAACTAATATGTATGAGCAGATTAAGATACAGATTACGGAGGCACTTAGAGCCGAGGAGATTCGGAAAGCCGGTGAAAAGGTTTCAAAAAAGATGCAGGAATATGGCGCTGAGAAAGTTCAAGGGAATATTAAAGCTGTGAAGGAAGGTTGCGAAAATTTTGCCGGAGATCTCCGGAAGGTTATAGACCAGAGAGTGAAGACAATTGTCGAAAAACTTGAGAATGATCCAATATTAGTGATGCCCCATCACCGCGCGAATTACAGCCATGAACTCTCACCGGCCATTGAAGCTGTTCTAGTTGCACTGTGCACGTCTGCTACGGAGGCAAGCAGAGAGCTTGAGTCACTCACCGGCAGTGGCAACACGCGAAGTATCGACATAGGGGAGAAGCTAGATGAAGCTCTGGCGGATGCTACTCAGCTTGATGGAAAACTTGAAAAGGGTAAAGGTCATTTCGCCACTAGGCTTGACGTTAGGATTAGGACAGGGGTTAGCACTGTGATGGTAGCAGACACGTGGACTGGCGCCTTTGATCTATCTAAGAAAATGTCCTCTTTCTACACAGCCAACCAGAAGCTTACAGAGGCCCTTAACAGCGGTATCACGGGAAAGGTTAAAAGCATACTGGGTGATAAGATTGGTGAGGCCGATGTAATGAAAATATCTTTTAGAGACGATGACGATGACCGAGGCGTCATGTCGGAATATAAGAAGCAGACGAATCAAAAAGGTGCAAATGGTGCACTAACCGACGGTGCCCTCAGGGATAAAATAAATCAGATTAAGGACCAATTTGGCAAAACGGTTACGGTGAATGATGAGCCGTCACTTGGATATAAAGTACAAGCCGAACAAATTTCAGGTTATTCCAAGCACCAACCAATACTAATGCAAGCTATCGACTCCGCCCTTGCCATGATAGGGTACCTTGAGAAGACTCCCGACGAAATTAAGAAAAAGAAAGCGGAGACAGAGGAGCTCATCGATAAATTGAAGAGTAAATTGAAAAAGCTACAGGAGCATTTTGAAACCATCGGAATTGCCGTCTGTCATGCCGATGACGCATTGAAACACGCCATAGAAACACTCCGAAGCACATTGAGCGTTGCACGAGAAAATGCCGAACAGTCTGTACAAGCAGCCTTCATCGCCATTAGAAATCAAATTAGAGCTATGTTCGCCGCCTCCCACGCCGCCGACCTCCAGGCCCTGCGCGCGCTCGTCGACCAGCAACTGCGGGAAGTGCAAACAATAATCGCGCGGGACGCAGTCACGGGCGTGAAGGGTCTTTTACAAGGTTTGAATGGTATGAGATTCGGTATAAATAAATATGGCGTACCACAATTTACGACGTCTCCAGACAAGAATCTGCTTCAGCAAATAAAAAAAGAAGCAGAGTCTCATCAGTCAGATACACCAATTAAGGACACTTTCACAAAATTAGCAAAAGCGTTCCACTCATACTTCACTCCAATTCATACCCATATTGAGCGTCAGATCAAGGAGCAACTTGAAAAGTTGCCTGACGACAAGCGTACCGATGAGAACCTTAATAACCTTAACGTTGCCAAAGGAAAACTTGACGATTTACTTGAACATCTTAAAGAAACAAAGGTTAATGACAATTCCAGAAAATACATCTTCAACAAAGAATTCGTTGACCTACGTGACAATCTCATTTCCTCCCTCACCTCTCTAGCCCCTTCCCAATTCGCAAACCTGCGGCACCCGGAACTGCTGGACGCCGTAGGAAAAGGGCTGCAGAGATTTACCGACGAGCTCAAGAAGGCGTACGTGAATACGTATGATGGAGGGGAGGAAATCACTTGGCGGAAACAAGGCACTACAGCAACCGTGTACACTACTCATGTCAGCTATAATACTGAGTTGACTGAGGAAAGCCAAAAGGGCGCTAGAGTATTCCTCACCATTTCAAGAATGATATACGAAAATTTGTTTAAATTACGAGATGAATGCGAAGGCCGCTGGAGCGACAAATATATCTGCGAAACAGATAGCAAGGGAGATAATCCACTTGGAAGTTTCCTGAAAGGCTGTGGATTCCGTGTCGCCGAAAATGAAGCATCCAAGAAAGGGGAGTTGAGATTTCCCTACACCCAATTCAAAGGCGAGGGAATTAAAGACTTGCTACCATATACCCCCGCCTCCACATCCGTCATTCAGCTTCTCGAAACTCTTGTTCCATACCTTAATCAATATAACCAAATAGGTCACAACAAGCATATTCCGTCACCCAGAGTTCCATGTTCTATTTACGAAATGCTTGCGTGGTGCTGTGGTCTCCAGTTCAACAGTGTCTATGAGTTGTTAGTAAAATATTGTGATGAGTATGACACCAATGATACTGATAAAACACCAGACACCGATTTCAAAAATCGTCTATCAGACGCCGTTGATCATGGTTTACCTATTTTATGTAAGTATTCACACAACTTGCTCATAACCATCCTCGGCACCGGCGACGAGGATACCCTCTACGGTGTTGAATTATCGAACAACTCCCTTAATCTTAAATATCCCACGAGCGGTGCAGACTGTTTGCATACATTGCTTGATATATTGCGTAAACTATTACCGACGTTACGATTTTTAAAGAGTAAATGTAAACTCAGTACTCAGCACGGAGGCTGGGAGCAGTGTGAATACGGCAAGGACATAGCTCCGGCCAACTGGCCTTGCAAGGACCATTCAACCAAGGAATCAAATTGCCAACCTATGTGCCGACCAAATGGTGAACCTACGTGCCAACCAAAATCACCACTAATGTCTTACCTAAATGACACATTACCCGGTCACCTTCCTCATGATGTCAGTGCCATCGGTTGTAGAGCTACATGTAACACCTGTCCCAAATCCAAGCCCGGGCAGCCATGTTTAACGCCTCTCGGCTTTAGAGGGTTTTCTGGCTCTACAAGGACAGGCAAAGAGCTGTGTGAAGCGCTCGGCAGATTCTTCAGCAGTGCCAACCTTTCACCGTTATTCTGCATAGCCCCCAAACCACCATCCACGCTACCAGAGCACTTCTCATTTGCGATTACGTTGGTTAATGGTTGGCGTAACATAGCCACGGACCCCTATGAACAGCGCATTAAGTCGTCCATCCGTAATGCGTCCATAAAACTTTATGATAATCCGGACGATCTTACTAAAGCCATCATAGATGCCTATGGATCGGCGTCGGCTGATCATACTGATTGCACGCATCATCATCTTACGCATCTCACGTCATTCGGCGTATGTAGTCGCAAGACCAAAAATATAGAGTGTGTTCCATATGTTTCACCTCTATGCCGTTATTCATATCATGACCTCGTCAACAAGCATGCCAATCTATACCTCTCCTGGTCCATTTACCTCCCCTGGGCATTTTGGGAGTGTCTCAAAAATCTATACGATGAGTTCTGTGACATCTTCTGCCAGGACTGGGGATGCCGTAGTTGTCTGCGTGGCAACAAGTGTAAGCGTGGCAAGCATGGTGTTGTCGAGGATGATAAGAAAGATGTTACTTGTCAGTGTAAATCCATGGTACAGTGCAAAGGCGTTTCACCAACATTATATAAATGTGGATTAAGTTTTGGTGAAGCATGGAAATTAAATGCTGAGAGTAGGCCTAGAACGTGTTCCGATTTCTGCAGTCAGTTAAAGAATGTATTACATTCTGATTATTTCACAAAGCTATTCGGAAAATGTGATGAATTCCTATGGATCATCAGAGAACCCTTCTCCTACCTGTTGTTAGCCCTCTGGTCCCTCTCTTTGCTCTACCTGCTGCACATCACCGTCGTCCGCCTCGACGTCCTGAGGATACGCTCCCACCTGAGATCACCCTCAAGCCACCGCATCGCCGCACAGTCCCTCCTCGCCGCCGCACGCGTCAAGGCACTCGCCAACGTCAAGTACTTCTCACCATAATCGTGCCTTCACGTGTGATCTGTGTATCACCCAGACACCCACCAACTCACTCACCCACCCACTCAACCACTCAACCACCCACTCACTCAACCACTCACCCACTCACATACTCACATACTCAACCACTCAACCACGTAAACACCCTCTCACATACTCACTCACCCAACCACTCACCCACTCAACCACCCAGTCAACCACTCAACCACCCACTCAACCACTCAACCACTCACTCACCTAACCACTCACTCACTCACCCACCTAACCAACCACTCACATACTCACCCACTCAACCACCCACTCAATCACCCACTCAACCACTCACTCACTCACCCACTCTCCTAATCACCCACCCACCCACTCACCTACTCACTCACCTAACCACCCAACCACCCACTCTCCTAATCACCCACCCACCCACTCACCTACTCACTCACCCACTCAACCACCCACTCACTCACCCACCTAATCACCCACTCACTCAACCACTCAACCACTCAACCACCCACCCACCCACTCACTTACTCACCCACTCACTCAACCACTCACTCAACCACTCACTCAACCACTCAACCACCCACTCAACCACCCACTCAACCACTCACTCAACCACTCAACCACTCACTCAACCACTCAACCACTCACCCACTCACCCACTCACCCACTCACCCACTCAACCACTCACCTCCCCTTTCACTGGTCGCTTCGCTCCCTGCCTTTCACCCCCTCCATCACCTCCTCCGTCGGCGTCCTTCACCCAAATCCTCGTTTTCCGCCTTCCCCCTCCACCTCCGAAATCGCCTTACCTCCACCCATCTTCCTCCCTCATCGCCCTCTTTCGCCCCTTCGCTTCCCTCACCCTGTCCACCCACCTCCTCCACCCCCTCACCGCCTCCCTGACCTAAAATCGCCTTTCTCAAAAAATTCTAAAATTCTCCAAAAGTGTCCCTTTCCACCTCCTCTAATTGCCTCTTTAATTTTTTCCCACTTTCTTCTCTCACCTCTTTTGACCTCCCTTCTCGGCCTCCTTCGTCGGCCTCCATCGACTGGCTGATCCAGGTTAGGCATGTGAATGGTAATGGTCAAGGTCTTGATAACTTGGCTGAAGCCTTGCAAAAGTTTATTGGTGAGGCTATTACTAAGGCCACAACTTCCCTCCAACACAAATCCGACAAGCTCTCTTGCTCTCCAAATCCACATGATCCTCACTCCTACTGTAGTACACTTGATGAGCAGATTAAGTCCAAAAGTGAACAACTTCAAAAAGCTAAAAAAGACTCTGATAAATCACAAATAAATGCTTTAGAATCACAAATTAAGCTGTTACAGTCCAACAAAGATGACTGCACTAAGTCCCATTACATGGACAAGCAGCGTATGTCCTCCCTTGAGGAGGAAGTGCATCATGGCATCAGTGTTATTGTGAAGCTTACGCAGTTTAGTGGCTCTGAAAAGAGCATTGAAACACTAATTGATAATGAAATTAAGAGGCTTGAAAAGCAGCATAAAGATTGTGAAAAGTCTCCGCAGTCTCCTGCCTCTTCTGACTGTGCTCAGCATAAACTGCTTGAGGAGCTTAAAAAGAAACTTAGTGAAATTAGCACTAATAAAAATAATAGTCCACATGATTTATTAAATAACCTGTGCTCTGGCCTGGAGAAGTTCCTTGGTTACCAAGAAACTTCCAAAGGCTACGATGGCACTGGCATCGTGTACTCGGACCTTGACAGGCTGTGCGACGGGGTGATGTCTTTCCTTCATGGTGTTTTAGATAGCATTAAGCCTAAATTAGGCCAGCATAAAGACACTTTAACTAGCGCACTTAACTCACTTAAAGACACAAATAATAATGGTATTGCTAAATACAAGGCGGCGGTAGCCGCGGTGGCCAGTGGTGTACGTACATATAATGAGAGAGTGGCAGCGTCGAATGAGAGTGTTAGTGATGTTATAATTAAGTTGCGTGACAGTGTTAGTGCTTCATTTGTGAGTGGTGTAAATGATATATTGCGTGATAATATTGTTGCAGGTAAGAAGACGGAGCACACTGGTAGTGAAGTTGACAAGGCCAAGACACGAGTGGAAGAGAAGCTGGAGGAGTGTAAAAGAAATGCCGCGGCGTTCAACACAGCTTTTGACCTAGAGAGTAAAAGCAACATAAACATGAAAACACGCGTTAATGATCTTAATGCTAAATTACATGATCGTGTATTAGTAGCCGCGAAAGCAGTGAAGCATGAGACGGAGAGGCTCACTGAGCTGTCAACTAAGGAAGGTGACAATCTCGAGGAGACCGAAGAGAAGATTAAGAGTGTGCTTGACGGTGTGAGAGAGAGCGTGAATGGTAGCATTACCAAGCAGGTGAGCAACCTTGTTCAGTTTTTGAAGGATTGTGTCTGCGCGATTAAAGAGAAGCTTGAGAGGCTTTGTGCTGAGCTGGGAAATTATGTTGAGCAGTTGAGAAATTGGATTAAAGAGGCGGATAGGATTGCCAGCGATGGCATAACTAAGGTCAAGCAAATTGAGCGTAAGAATCTTGATTGGTCAGGTGGGGACTCCATAAAGAAGGCTGTGAAAGAGATTAACGAAGGGTTTATAGGGGCTAAAAAATATATCAACGAATTGGTTGGAAAGGCACTGCAGGCCGTGAAAACGATGGACGAGCAGCTGAAGCAGGATTTGTATAATGTTAAGGATAATATCAAGCGGGCGATCATGCAGTTGGCGAAAACGTTGGAAGGGAATGTGAAGAGTGATTTGGGGACGTTGGAGGAGGGAGTTAATACAGGGATGAGGGAGTATGTTGGGGAGTTGAGGACGAAAATTAGGGGAGATGTTGGAAAAATTCTTAGGGGTGAAGATCCATATTCAGTCAATGGTTTAAGGGGAATCGAAAAGGCGGTGTGGCAGTTGTACAAGGATTTTCAAGAAAAGGGAGCATTTGAGAAAAAAGTGCAGGGGTGGGTTGGAGATGTATTAGGGAAGGACAAGACGGTAGACGTGTTAATTGATGCCTATGTTGAAAGTAACAAGCGCTCTGGCTATTTTCAGCAACAGGACCAAGGTGGGATAAAACAAAACGTTATAAAGCATATTAGAAAGGTTATTGACTCGAAGCTTCAAAGCATAATTACAGGCGTTACTGCTGTAGAAAACTCTGACAAAGCTGGAATCGCTACTAATTTAACAAAGATAAAAACTTGTATTGATTCATTCGTCCAAGAGCTGACGAAGAGTATGCAATCCGCAGAATTTAGAATATCTGCTATAGTTCAGAGCATCGCTGAACAGTATGAAAGAGAGGGGTTGTTGACTCCTCAGAGCGGTAAGGGAACCCATGACAAAACGCTTCTCACTTCAGTCCTCAACCGCATTCTCAAAAACCTTCTTGCTTCGGCCAGACATAAAGCTGCCGATTTTGCATGGCTCATCAGCGACGAGAAAAAGGTGGGAGGGGACTCTAGTATCGCGAAGGAGATCGACGCGGCTAAGAAAAATGCAGTTGACCTTGACACGTATCTAAAAAAGTCGGTTGAAGGCGATGGCTCCGGTAAAGATGGTGGTACCTCATCCGTTGAGAAGGAGATTAAGGAAAAACTTGAAAAGGAATACTTTAAAAAGGCGTCGACGGGTGGTGGTGACAACAATTATGAAATCGGCCAAGGTCTCATGTCCAATTTCCACGACACCCACAAGAACCTCCTTAAAGGCCAGATAGCAAGCGCCAGCGGTACTGGTGCAAGTAATCCTGACGTGCTTAACGAGCAGTTGCCGGAGAAAAATAGTTCAGTTGACATTAATGGTTCTTCAGGTTTCGAGAAATACAAAGCCCAAATTACCCAAACCACCCTGGACGGTGAACCCGACAGCCTTGCAGGCGCCCTTCCAGACAAGATCCGCGAGATTGACGAGCACGGCCTTAGCACCTTCAAAACTAATTTGGGTGCGACTGACAAGCCTGGCCAAAATATTTCTAAGGGTTTTCTTCACGATATCACAACTAATCTCGAAGCTCTCCTAGTTGCTGTTTCGCGAACCGGTGATTCTGTTAAGCAGCAATTGACTCAGCTCAAAAACAAGATCGACATAAAGAATACCCAACCGGGAAGTCTCCAACAACTTTATAAAAATCTTAGCATGCTGCAAAGCAAACTCCAAGACGGTCCCATCAAGGACTGCACGCGCTTCATCGACAAGGACGCCGGGTCAATGGAAACATACTGTATTAACGCCCTCAAGCAAAACGTCAACGGTCAAGTTAGAAATGCTACCGAGACTCTCACCACCCTCGCCAAGAAGCAGTACGTTCTCTCTCTCAAGAGTCTATTAACCAAGTTCGCCGAGAAGGTAACGGAGGAACTGACGGGACTGCCCGCGCGGATCAGCACAGATCTGCGCACAGGCCACAAGGGATTTATGTTACGCATGGGAGGCGTGGAGAAGCCGGAGACTCCAAGTGGGCCGCAAGGCCCTGCGGCACCAAATCCAGCAAGCTTGCTTGGTAAAATCCAAGAGGCTGTAAAAGCCTACGATCCAAGTCAGCAAGGTGCGTCAGCACAATTGAATACATATTTCACACAATTAGCAACAAAATTCCACAACTACTTCACTCCAATTTACCAGTATATTGAAACACAAATCACTGCTCAACTTAAACCTTTGCCCGAAACTCAGCGCAATGACGACAACCTTAACAAACTCACGGAAATCAACTCTATGTTCAACACACTGCTCACCCACCTTAATGAAACACAGACTAATAAGCCCGATAGAAAATACCTTTTTGACCACGATTTCACCGATAAACTAGACGCACTTAAAACACAACTTCAAACATTCACCTCCCACAAATTTACCAACCCGCACCACCCTGAATTACTTGACGCCCTTAAGTGCGGGCTTAATGACTTTTGCACGCAGCTTGATAAAGCGTACGTAAATGGGTATGAGGGACATCCAGATAAAATAATCTGGGACAAATTGTTAGTTAATAAAACGTTGGAGGACGGAAAACAATCCACTGAAAAAGAGCTGACGCCGGATGGCACTAGGCTGTCCAAGGTGTTGCTCACGTTGCTGTTCATATTAAGCGACGACCTCAATAAGTTGAGAACTAAGTGTGAATCCAAATGGTCCACCAAGCAAATTAACTCCCTCACCGAGCTGGGCCTTTTCCTACAAGGAGCCGGATACGATGTATCTGCCAGTAGGGAAAGGGAACATGCTGAGTTACAAAACTCACGAGAAATGACCGGCCAAAATATTATCGGCAGACTTGCTAACTCAATCGAAAATACTCAAACCATTACACATCTCACTCCGTGTATAAAAGATAAACATTACAAAGGTCAAGAAGCAAAAACAAAATTCCATGTCATGGACCTACTTGCCTGTCTTACCACTCACCTTAATGAATACTTCCAAACTTGCCATCATTCTACATTCTCCTCTAACAAATATCCATGTTCAGTCAATGAGATGTTGTGTTGGCTCTCGGGCCTTCCTCACAACCATATATATCCAAATCTTAAGAGTCACATTACGAATCTGTTTAAAGTACCAGATAAAAGTGACCCGAATGTTAAAACGGTGCAGCCCGTAAATGCCCATCCTTTCAGCTTTACATATAGACATGTACATGATGCACTTAAGAACATGGCAGCCCAGTCTCAGAATATGCTCCGCATCATACGCGGCACTGGTAATGCTCAGATCACTTATGGTTGTGATTTTACTAACAACTCCCTCAGTCTTACGTATCCATCAAATCCTGGCGCGTGCTTTGATCTGCTATGCGACGTAATTCGCAGACTATTCCATCCACTTCAATTCTTAAAAATACAATGCAAATACAGTGCCAGAGATTTCGGCTGGCGGGAGTGTCGTTACGGCAAAGATATTCCAACAACCAAATCGCAATGTACCGACCATCCAACTGACCAATCAACGTGCCAAGCAAAGTACCAGGCAAAGTGTCAACCAAAGTGTGAACCTAAGTGCCAACCAACTTCACCTTTAATGTCATATTTAAATGACTGTCTGCCTGGGCATCTGCCACATCAGTTAACTATAGTCGGCTGTAAAGCCACTTGTTTAACCTGTCCTAGCGTAAAACCCGGAATGCCCTGCTTGACACCTCTCGGATTCAGAGGTTTCTCGGGTAGTACCAAGACGGGCAGAGACCTAAGTAAAGTTCTTGATGAAATCTGCGAAAGCCATGGCGCACTCAACACGCTCTATGCAATGCTTATGTGCGTCATCGCTCGTCCACCTCAGACACTCTGTGACATATTCACGTTCTACATTCGACTCATGCAATCGTGGAATGAGATTGACACTGTAGATAATAGCCGTGATCCCCTCCAAAAAGCCATGTACAAAGAAATCATTGCCACTGTATCCTGTACAGACGATGATGCTAGGGCGCTGCTTAATCCTTGCCGTGAATTGTATAATGGCACATCGCACAGTAAGCACGACCTGAATGCTCCTGATCTCATGTATTTGGTTGGTTGCACTGATAAACAACGCTGCGGCGGCTTTATGGTGTCACTGAATTACGCCGCTTACTCTACCCTGGCGCCAAAGTATGCCAACAATTATTTGTCGTATTTAATATACACTGGGCCTAAGCTTCAAAAGTTCCTAGAGGAACTTAAGGAATCACTTTGTGGCATCTCGTGCTACGACTCTGGTTGTTCGACGTGCATCAGCAGTGACGGCTGCCAAGTAGGCAAGCATGGTACTACACAATGTGGATGCTCGTCAATTATAAAATGCAGAGGTGTATGGTACGTATTCTATCAGTATGGTTTTACATTTTCTGACATCTCTCTCGCACACAGAAAAAGGTGTCATCACTTACAGAAAGTAATTGACGGTATATTGAATTCTGAGTTGTTGAAGAAATTCCTCGAAGCAATTGACGATTTCATGTTCTGCGTCAGGAAGAATTTCATCTGGACCCTCGTAGCCCTCTGGTCGCTGTCGCTCCTGTACCTGCTGCACATCACCGTCGTCCGCCTCGACGTCCTGAGGATACGCTCCCACCTAAAATCGCCCTCAAGCCACCGCATCGCCGCGCAGTCGCTCCTCGCCGCCGCACGCGTCAAGGCACCCGCCAACGTCAAGTACTTCTCACCATAATCGTGCCTTCACGTGTGATCTTTGTATCACCTACTCACTCACCCACCCACTCAACCACTCAACCACTCACTCACCCACCCACTCACTCACCCACTCACTCACCCACTCACTCACTCACCCACTCACTCACCCACCCACTCAACCACTCAACCACCCACTCAACCACTCAACCACTCAACCACTCAACCACCCACTCACCCACTCACCCACCCACTCACCCATCTCACCTAATCACTCACCCACTCACCCACTCAACCACTCACTCAACCACCCACTCACCTAACCACTCAACCACTCAACCACCCACTCAACCACTCAACCACCCACTCACTCACTCACATACTCAACCACCCACTCACCCACCCACTCACTCAACCACTCAACCACTCACCCACCCAACCACTCAACCACTCAACCACCCACTCACTCACCCAACCACTCAACCACCTAATCACCAACTCACCCACTCAACCACTCACCCACTCACCCACCTACTCACCCACTCAACCATTCAACCACTCAACCACCCACCCACTCACCCACCCACTCAACCACTCACCCCCTCAACCACCCACCCACTCACCCACTCACCCACCCACTCACTCAACCACTCAACCACTCACCCACTCACCACCTACTCACCCACTCAACCACCCACTCACTCAACCACTCAACCACTCACTCAACCACCCACCCACTCACCTCCTCTTTCACTGGTCGCTTCGCTCCCTCCTCCATCACCCCTTCCATCACCTCCTCCGTCGGCGTCCTTCACCCAAATCCTCATTTTCCACTTTCCCCCTCCACCTCCTAAATAGCCTTACCTCAACCCATCTTCCTCCCTCATCGCCCTCTTTCGCCCCTTCACTTCCCTCACCCTGTCCACCCACCTTCCTCGTTGCCCCGCTGCCTCCTTGACCTAAAATCGCCTTTCCCCAAATTCCACCAAATCGCCCTAATAATGTGCCTAAAATAATCTTGCAACATTTCTCAACTTCTTCACTTTCCTCTTGTTAGCCCTCTGGTCGCTCTCGCTCCTGTACCTGCTGCACATCGCCGTCGTCCGCCTCGACGTCCTGAGGATACGCTCCCACCTGAGATCACCCTCAAGCCACAGGATCGCCGCGCAGTCCCTCCTCGCCGCCGCACGCGTCAGGGCACTCGCCAACGTCAAGTACTTCTCACCATAATCGTGCCTTCACGTGTGATCTGTGTATCACCCACTCACTCAACCACTCAACCACTCAACCACCCACTCACCTACTCACCCACCCACCTCCTCTTTCACTGGTCGCTTTGCTCCCTGCCTCTCCCTCCATCACCTCCTCCGTCGGCGTCCTTCACCCGAATCCTCATTTTCCACTTCTCCCTCCACCTCCACAATAGCCTTACCTCAACCCATCTTCCTCCTTCATCGCCCTCTTTCGCCCCTTCACCTCCCTCACCCTGTCCACCCACCTCCCTCGCTGCCTCGCTGCCTCCTTGACCTAAAATCGCCATTCTCAAAAAATCCTAAAATTCTCCAAAAGTGTCCCTTTCCACCTCCTCTAATTGCCCTTTAACCTTTTTTCCACCTTGCTCATCTCACCTTATTTGCCCTCCCTCCTTGGCCTCCTTCTGACCCCTCTGGTCAGCCTCTTAACTACTGTGATCACTTGACTAACCAAATTAACACTCTTAAATCTCAAAATAACTTTGATGTAAATAAGCTTAGTAAACTTCAATCTGACTTAAGCAGCCACCAAAGTGAAGTGCACAGCAATCCGTCCAAAAGGGACGGTGCGTTGAAGGACGTCCACTCCAGGATGGTGTCTCTTGCTGACCTTAGTGGAAAACTTGGCCAATTTATTGGCCAAAGTGACGAAGTTACTACAGCAATTAATGATGGTATTGACGCAATTATTGACAGTGATAAAGACTTCAAAAGCCTTAGAAAGTCTCCGGCTTCGGCTTCGCAGCCTCCCGCTGCCGTGTCTGCTGGGCTTATAAATGATGGTGAGCTTAGCAGTAAAATTAGGCATTATGAGAAAGAAATTGCGTCTCTTTCCGCTGAGATAGAACAACTTAAAAAGCAAAAAACGTCTGTCCCCGATGACCTTAATAAGTCTCATGAGTCTCATCAGTCCAAGTTGGAGTCTCTTCAGAAGCTGAAGAGCCTTAATGAGTCATTGAATTCTGTTAATAATCAACATGATGATGTTTGTAAAATCCTTTTAAATAACCTCTGCACAGGCCTCGAAAAATTTCTCGGCTACCATGATGGTAATTACACCGGAGAGGGAATTGTGTACTCCGACCTTGACAGGCTGTGCGACGGGGTGATGTCTTTCCTTCATGGTGTTCTCAGTGAAGTGAAAAACGATGAGAGCGTTACGAAATATGATAATAATCTTCACGAGCCTAAATTGGATAAACTTCTTAAGGAACTTTATGATTCCATAGGTCAGGGGTCTGGCGTATTTGGCCCGCAGGTTACTGCGGTGAGTGGGTGGCTTGGGAGGTATGAGAGTGAGGTGAACAAGAAAATAAGGCTTGTTGGAGATCGTATTAAAAACCTAAAAACGCAGGTTGAAGAGCATAAAAGTAAAATACAAGAAGAAAAGGACGAAGATGTTTCAGACCAGATTGAATATTGGACTCAGCGTGCTGGGTGGTATGTTGGCTTCGTTAATAATGCCGAAATAGCGTTAAATGACATCGACGGAAATCTGAAAGACAAATTGTCGCCTCATATTAATATGTTGGAACAAGCGACGAAGACGTTTCAAGCGGCGGCAAAAAATAAGGATCTACATAGCATGTATGACACGGCTGGGATCAAGTGGAATGCTGTAATCACGTACGTTGTTGAAAGGTTTCAGAAAAGGGGCACAGGACTGCAGAGGTATTTGAAGTATACGATTGGTGAACTGCGCGATAAACTTAACAAGTTAAAATCTGCGCAATTTGCTGAGTTGGTTAAGTCTGTGAACGATGAACTTGACAGTGCTTATAGGTTGGTGAAAGACGGGATTAAGAGTCTAATAGATAAGTATGATGAACAGGTTGTGAAGGTTCTCGGACCTGTTGTTTTAACCGCTAAGGACCTTACTGAGAATTTCCCGAAGACTCAAAGTGCGATCACACTGGCTATCGGAAAAGTCGACACTGAGATGGATTATTTCAAGAAACTTAAGAATGTTGCACAGATTAAAGAACTTATCGGAACGGTTCCCCTTCTCACAGGGATAGGTAAAAGTGGAGATCCTTTTAATGCCGTGAAAGAACATTTTCGGAATCTTGATTCCAAAGTGATGCAGCCTTTAAGGACGGTGATAGCGAGGATAGGTGCCTCTTTAGGCCGAGGCGCTACAGCCCCTCGAACTAGCGAATTGAACACTGCACTTAGTCCTGTAAAATCTCAACTTGAAGAAGTTCAAAAGGTTGTACTTGGGCAACTTAACGAGCTGAACGGTCTTCAAGAAAAGCTGCAAAAAATTCTAGGCACAGAATTCACTGTCAGTAGTATTGATGCAAGCTCCTATAAGGACGTCGTCGATGCTGTCGTAAACAAGCTTAATAAAAACACCGATAGCATCACGAGAAACGAAGTGATTAGCCTTCTCAACACTCTCGCTGCAATCGCCGAATCCGTATCGTATCATTCCAAAACGGTTGTAGAGGAGGTTATGCAGGGGGTTGAGAAGCAAATTAAAAAAGAGGTGGAGACTGTCGCCGGGGCCATTGAGGGAAAACTCGGGAAGATTATCAGAGCTATCAACAATGGCAGCGACGTGGATGTTGACTACCACACAGATCCTGGCACTAAAGCTGTCAGCCTCGAAAGACTCGTCAACAAATTCAAGACGCAGATTAATCAGGCGCTTCAAGGCCTTCACACCCACGTTGGTCAGAAGAGCGATGATATCGAAAATGACAAATTAAGCATTTATGCAGCACTTAACGATCTTAAGAAGAATGTTGATGCGCTCGGCCATAAGGTTACAGACGTGAAGGAGAAGGTTGGTGATTTGTGGAATGGGCTTGATGGGTGCATTAACTACGCCAACGATATGCTCATTAAAACTCCTACGATGATTGCATCAGTCATGGAAGCATTACGTAAGGAAGTTAATCAAAACATAACTGACGCCTTCACTGACCTCCAATCCAAAGCCAAGTCCCTCTACACCGCCCGCAAAACACAGGAAGTCGAAGCCCTGCAGAAGATCGTTGGGAAGCAGTTGCAGAAAATAACGGAGGCTATTAATAAGGACAGAATGCAAGGATCAAAAAAATTTTTAGATGCTTTAAAAAAGCAATTTGTTGATCGGCTGAAAGATTATTTTCCATCATCTGGCCAGGGACCAGCGCCGCAAAAATCCTTTACAGAAGTCGCCAAAAATCTTCATCATTACTTCAACCATTGGATGTTAGATGTGTACGAGCAGGAAGACTTCAAGAAAATGGATTATAAAATTGAGCCTTCCCGGAAGGCCCTGCACACTCTTCTAACTGGGCTTCATGGATCAGGACAGTTTGATCACGCCTTTAGTAAACACTTGGACGCACTTGACAATGCGGTCACAAAATTAAGGCCTAAGACGTTCACCGGTTGGTACAGCATACTGCTCGATGCAATGAAAAATGGCCTAACGGCGTTAGCTGGGGAACTTGAAAATGCGTACGTGTCCTCATATTCTCAGCAGACCATTGAGTGGACGAATTCATGGAAGGAAAAGAAGTTGACGGACAACGCTAAGCGCTGCGGCAAGGTTTTTCTCACTTGCGTCTCCACACTGTTCGCCGATTTCGATTGTCTGAGAAAGCACTGCGACAAAGGAAAGAAGTGGAACACTACGCAAATTAATACGCATAATGGTAATCCGCTCGGCGATTTCTTTAGCAAGTGCGGTTACAAAGTGTCAGCTGAAAAGGATTCCCATGAGGGGCATTTGAAAAATAAGACAGATTGCAAGGGCCAGAAGATTCATGAGCTTCTCGAGAAAGATGACCATTATCTCGTTAAAAGATACGACGAATACCCAGAAGTTGACGATAACAACAAAAGTATTCTCAAGAAGCTGTACGACTACCTAAACCACTATAATGAAGTTTGCCATCATTCCACTTTCTCTGCACGTAAACATCCATGTTCCGTGTATGAAATGTCCGTATGGTTGACTGGCCTCCCACACAATCGTGCTTACGATAAACTCAATGATCACGTGAAATCCTTATTCCAGGTAGACGACAAGAAGGATCCATCAAAGAAAATTACCCAATCCATAGACGCGCATCCGTCCGAATTTTCGGTTCTAAATATATACGACGCAATTAGACACATCACGTCCAACTCACGTAACCTGCTCACCACCATCCTTGGCCACGGCGACGAATTCACCCTGTACGCCTCCGACTTTTCCAACAACACCTTAACGTTGCAGTATCCCTCTGATCCATCACAGTGCTTGGAAATGCTAGTCAACGTCCTTCGTAGATTACATCCCGTCCTTACGTTCCTGCATGGTCAGTGTCGTCTCGCAGCTCAGCATTACGGGTGGGCCAGCTGCCAATATGGCAAGAATATCCCTACGACCAAGTGGCCATGTAACGTTCACTCAGCAGACAAATCAAAGTGCCAACCTAAGTGCGAACCAAATTGCCAGGCAAATGACCAACCAAACTGCCAAGCAACGTCTCCACTTCAGTGCTACTTAACCGATTCTCTAGTCGGCCACCTGCCTCACGATGTAACCTCTGTTGGTTGCAAATCGTCGTGCAGCACGTGCCCCAAATCCACGCCCGGAATGCCGTGTATAACTCCAATGGGCTTTAGAGGTTTCTCTAGTAGTACGCGTACAGGTAAAGAGCTAGGAGACGTGCTGAGCAACTTCCTAAGTAACGACCATGTTACATGCCTCTTCACCCTGCTACCCAAACCTCCAAGCACGTTGCCTGAACACATGGGTTTTGTTTTCTCATTAATTACCAGTCTTACGCCTAGTAATACACGAACAAGGCGTATTAAAAATAGGTTCCAAGTTGAGTTCGAAAATTCTATCACCAATGCATCTATTGAACAATATTCTGACCCCTCTACGCTCACCGATGCACTCACCGCAGCATACGGGTCATCCTCCGTTGATCATTCTGAATGCGTTAACTCTCACCTTACGAGTCTTACAACAACAGACACCTGCAAAGGTAAAAACAATAGAATGGAGTGCGCGCCATACCTATCTAGCGTATGTAAGGACGCCTATAAATATATGGCCCACAAGCACTGCGGCCTATATTTATCATGGGCTGTTTACCTACCATGGTCCCTCCATCGATGTCTTGACTCTCTGCTGAAAGCATTTACAGATATATTCTGTCAAGACTGGGGATGCCGCGGATGTCTTATTGGCGACAAATGCGGACGTGGACAGCACGGCTACATGGATGGTTCCTGCCAATGCTCTTCCATCGTCAATTGTAGAGGTGTAATGCCGACTTTATACAGGTATGGGCTTTTGTACGAAGACGCAGCAGTATTAAATTCCTCGAAGATTCCGACAACATGTTCTGACTTCCAAAGACAGATGATGAATGTCCTTCAGTCGGAACATTTCAGCACTTTATTTCAAAAATGCGACGATTTCCTGAAAGAGATCAGATGGCCATTTATGCTAACGTTGTTAGCCCTCTGGTCCCTCTCTTTGCTCTACCTGCTGCACATCGCCGTCGTCCGCCTCGACGTCCTGAGGATACGCTCCCACCTGAGATCGCCCTCAAGCCACCGCATCGCCGCGCAGTCCCTCCTCGCCGCCGCACGCGTCAAGGCACTCGCCAACGTCAAGTACTTCTCACCATAATCGTGCCTTCACGTGTAATCTGTGTATCACTCACTCACCCACTCACTCACTCAACCACTCACTCACCCACTCACCCACTCACCCACCCACTCACTCACTCACTCACATACTCACCTCACTCACTCACCCACCTACTCTTTCACTCACCCACTCAACCACTCACCCACTCAACCACCCACTCACTCACTCACATACTCACCTCACTCACTCACCCACATACTCACCTCACTCACTCACCCACCTACTCTTTCACTGGTCGCTTCGCTCCCTCCCTTCATCCTCCCTCCCTCACCTCCTCCGTCGGCGTCCTCCCCCAAATCCTCATTTTCCGCCTTTCCCCTCCACCCCCAAAATCGCCTTACCTCCACCCATCTTCATCCTTCTTCGCCCTCTTTCGCCTCCTCACCTCCCTCACCCTGTCCACCCACCTCCCTCGCTGCCTCCTTGACCTAAAATCGCCTTTCCCCAAATTCCCCCAAATCGCCCTGAAAATGTGCCTAAAATAATCCACATAATTTACTTACTAACCTGTGCTCCGGCTTGGAGAAGTTCCTTGGTTACCAAGAAACTTCCAAAGGCTACGATGGCTCCGGCATCGTGTACTCCGACCTTGACAGGCTGTGCGACGGGGTGATGTCTTTCCTTCATGGTGTTCTTGAGAGTGTGAAGGAGGATGAGAGCGTTACAACTTATAGCTTAATAACTGACACAGACCTTAATAATGTTTTAGCTTATATGCATAATGGTAAATATGGTTTCATTCATTGCATCGATGCTGTGATACGTATACTTCGTGACTATGATGTGGAGTTACATAGGCGGACAGACGCAATTAAAACACCACTTAGCGCACTTAGTATTAAAATAGAGTCACATAAAATTAAGGTCGATGAGGAGAAGTCTCATGAGATTTCCGACCAAATTACTTCCTGGACCCAGCGCGCTAGTCAGTACATCGACACAGCAAGGCAGGCCGAGAGTGCTCTACAGAAGATTGATCCTGTACTATCAAGTAAGTTAAAATGTAATGTTTCATCGGTGTTGCAGGGTGTGAAAAAGTTCAAGGAAGAGGCGGGGAATGAGGACCTGAGAAGAATTTATGACCTGACTGGAACGAATATGTTTGAACTGCTTAGATATGCGGATGAGAGATTCAATGCAAGCATTGATCATCTAAGGAAGTATCTGGAAAAGAAGATCACAACACTGTGTAATAAGCTTGAAAGTTTGCGTGATGAGCAATTCTATAATTTGAAAACGTTTGTCGATAATGATCTTCAAAGAGCCTTCAAAGCAGTGGATATCGGGATTAGTGAAATTCAAAAAAGGTATAAGGGGGATATCGTTGAAGGGATATGTGGACTAGAAATAGCTGCTACGCAATTTAAGAATAAATTTACTGCGACTCAAAGAGTGCTCAATGTGGTAGTTGAGAATGTGTCTAATGACATGAAAAAACTTCAGACACTTACAACTCTTGAGAGCATTGATTCCAAACTTGGTGACCAGGTGAATTTACTGAAAGCCATCAAGGAAGGGAATGCATTCGATTCTCTCAAATCATATTTCTCCCATCTCGACGCTAAAGTTATGAACCCTGTGAAGGAGGCGATGAGGAAGATAGGTGAGGGGATTAGCAGGATCAATAAGGTCGACAGACAATCGTTGGAGAGCGCTTTTTCGGCTTTTAAATCCGACCTTAAAACTCAACTTGAAAACGTAAACAACGCAATCAACACCCCTGGCTCAGATCTTGACATCACAGAGTTTCAGATTGGCGGCGAAAAGCCTCTTTCAGATGTGAGTAAACTTAGTGTCACTCTACTATCTTACACCTCAAAGCTGTCATCGTCAATCCAGAAATTTAATGGACATACTTTAAATATATCAAAGACCGAAGTATCAGATATCCTCACCTCCCTTGGCAAAATTTCCCAAACCGTCGCCGAACACTCAAAGGAGGTTTTAGAAAAAACAATGGCAGCAATTAAGACACAACTGGAGAAGGAGATTAAGGCTGTGGCAGGTATAATAAATGAAAAGTTGACAAAGATTAGTACGGCTCTAAAGCATGACAAGGAAGTCGACGCCGACTACGGTGTCGGTGTAGGCCAATCAGCTAAAGGGCTTGCGAACTTGTTTAAAATTTTCGGAGAAAAAATTGATACAGTGCTCGAACAGTTGAAGAAGACTGTTGGCCACGACGGTGAAAAGGCAAGCGATTGTAGTATTTTCGCAGATTTGTTTCAGCTTAAGAACAACATCACAGAGCTGGGTCAGAATGTTAATGGAGTGCAGAAGAGAGTCGGATTAGTTGGTGAAGAACTAGAGAGGTGCGTTAAAGAATCAATTGATATGCTGGTAAAAGCGCCTAGATGGGCCGCAACCATCGTCGATTCATTGCGAAAGGAAGTGAATGCAAAAATAGAGCAGATGTTCAGACATGTTCAAGATGAAGCTAAGAAACTCTACACCAACCGCAAAAAAATTGAGCTCTCGGCCCTACACGAAATTGTCACCGACCAACTTAAACAAATTACAGAGATCATTAAGAACGATCTGAACACCGGCCTCAAGGGCTTCTTGAACGTCCTAAGAGACAAGCATAATGGAGGTCAAAAACTCCACGACCTAAAGGACAAACAAAATGTCGAATCTCTCTCTCCCAAATTAAAAGATTATGTATATGACATTTTCCAGTATGTATTTATCGACCTCCCCAAACATCTCCCTTACTCTCAATACTCCCCCCAACTCTCCGCCATCCACTCCGCTGTGGCCACCCTCCTCTCCCACCTGTCCGCCGCAAAACACTTCACCCACCGCGTCCCCGGAATGCTGCAAAATCTCAAGACATCCGTCCAAGCACTCCACTCCACAGCATTCGCCAACCCCGCGTATCCCGTGCTCGACGCTTTCCCCAAGAGCCTGGAGCGCTTCGTCGAGCAGCTGGAGAAGGGGTATGTGAACAGGTATGATGGTCGAACGTGGAACGATACTATTGAAGATAAGCATTGTGCAAAAATCTTTTGCACTTTAACACCAATGCTATTGGAAGGTTTAGTGGGTCTGAAAGGGAAATGCACGGATGGAGGGAGTTGGGGTAAAAAACAAATTAATCTTTCTATCGAAGATAGATACAAGACAGTTAACCCACTTGGTGCGTTTTTGCACGGTTGCGGGTTTCTTGTTTCCAAGTTGCCTGATTCCCATGAAGGGGAGCTTAGGAATAAAGAAAACTGTACAGGCAACACCATTGGTGGATTGATTGCGGCACTAACACTGTCTCCCACCGGTAACTATAATTTGCTAGACATTGTACACGGAGTTTCCACTCACGTAGATAAATACAATGAAGTTTGCCACTTAGAAACATTTACGTCTACTAAGATACCGTGCAGTATACATGACATACTTATATGGTTCTCAGGTCTGCCGTATAACGCTGTGTATTCCACTCTATTGCGTGACGGTTTTACTAGCCTCCTGCAGAAGCCTAAGCCAAAAACCATACAGGGCAGCGACGAATTTGAAGTGGAACTAGATGATCTGAATTCCTACTACATAGATGCATACCCAAATAAGTTCACATATAAAAACATTGACACCGTGCTTAATCACATATGTTCTAAATCCCACGACGTATTGACCACAATAGCCGGCACCGGCGACGCAAATACCGTGTATGCGTCCGATTATTGCAACAACTCTTTTAAATTCAAATATCCCACGAGCGGCGAAGATTGTTTACATACCCTCCTTGACATGCTTCGTCGACTCTTACCAACTCTCAGATATTTATACAACCAATGTAGGGTGAAAGCTGAACATTACGGTTGGTGTGATTGTAAGTATGGTAAGGGTATCCCTATGGCCAAATCTCAGTGTACCGAGCATCCTAGTGATGAATCAACGTGCCGACCAAATGGTCAACCAAGCAGCCAACCTGAGTGCCAACCAAACACTAAAGTAGACTGTCAACCTACGTCCCCACTGCAGTCCTACCTATCCGACTGCCTTGTCGGTTGTCTTCCCCATCAACTAACTTCCGTTGGCTGCAAGTCTGTATGTTTAACCTGTCCTCGTAGTAAACCCGGAATGCCCTGCTTGACACCTCTTGGTTTTAGAGGTTTCTCTGGCAGTACGAGGACGGGGAGAGATCTTCGTGATATGATTTCTGAGTTCTTCAACGTCGATGATCTCACATGCCTGTTTTCACTTGTACCCAAACCTCCGGCTACCCTGCCTGAGCACTTTGCCTTTACATTGTCTTTTGTTGACGGTTGGGATACCAATGGCCGTCATCATGTTTTGGATAAAACCCGAGCATCAATTACCAATCGGTCCATTGAGTTATATAAGGACCCCAACAGTCTCACTAATGCGCTTCGTAAAGCCTATGGTAATACACCGGGCGAACATAGTAAGACGCATTCAAATGGTAATAAAGTAGATTTATCGACCCTGTCATTGACCACGTCTTGTAACGGGACAAACCACTGCGTCCCCTACCTATCAACGGTATGTTGCGATCTGTATGGACACCTCGTCGACAAGAATTCTGACACATACTTAACATGGGTCGTGTATCTCCCATGGAACTTTTGGAACTATCTTCACGAATTATACACTGCCTTCTGCGATATACTATGCCAGGACTGGGGTTGCAGTCAATGTATGAATAGCGACAGATGTAAAAAAGGGAAACATGGCAATGATAAGTATTCATGTCACTGTAAATCCATTGTTAGATGCAGAGGGGTGTCACCCACGTTATATAAATACGGCTTTACGTTTGCGAGAACATCAAAATTAAATGAAAGAATGCATCAGAAAACATGTTACAATTTCTGTATGCAGTTAAAGAATGTCCTTGATTCAGAGTATTTCAAAGACCTGTTTAGAGAGTGCGACAATTTCCTGAAAGCAATAAGGATGCCATTCATGTCATTACTGCTCGCCCTCTGGTCGCTATCGCTCCTCTACCTGCTGCACATCACCGTCGTCCGCCTCGACGTCCTGAGGATTCGCTCCCACCTGAGATCGCCCTCGTCGCACCGCATCGCCGCGCAGTCCCTCCTCGCCGTTGCAAAGGTTGGGAAAATAGCCAACGTCAAGTACTTCTCACCATAATCGTGCCTTCACTACTCACCCACTCACCTAACCACCCACCCAACCACTCACCTAATCACTCAACCACCCACCCACTCACCCACCAACTCACTCAACCACCCACCCACTCAACCACCAACTCACTCAACCACCCACCCACTCAACCACCCACTCAACCACCCACCCACTCAACCACCCACTCAACCACCCACTCACCCACTCAACCACTCACTCACTCAACCACCCACCTAACCACTCAACCACTCAACCACCTAACCACTCACTCACTCACCCATTCACTCACCCACTCAACCACTCAACCACTCACCAACTCACTCACTCACCCACTCAACCACTCACCAACTCACTCACTCACCCACTCAACCACCTACTACTCACTCACTCAACCACACACTCACCCACCCACTCACCCACTCAACCACCCACTCAACCACTCAACCACTCACCCACTCACTCAACTACTCACTCAACTACTCACTCACCCAATCACTCACCCACTCAACCACTCAACCACTCACCAACTCACTCACTCACCCACTCAACCACTCACCAACTCACTCACTCACCCACTCAACCACCTACTACTCACTCACTCAACCACACACTCACCCACCCACTCACCCACTCAACCACCCACTCAACCACTCAACCACTCACCCACTCACTCACATACTCACCCACTCAACCACCCACCCACTCAACCACCCACTCAACCACTCACTCAACCACTCAACCACCCACCCACTCACCCACTCACTCAACCACTCAACCACTCACTCAACCACTCAACCACCCACCTATTCACCCACTCACTCAACCACTCAACCACTCACTCAACCACCCACTCAACCACTCAACCACTCACTCAACCACCCACTCAACCACTCAACCACTCACCTACTCACCACATACTCACCCACTCAACCACTCACCTACTCACCACATACTCACCCACTCAACCACTCACCCACTCACCCACTCGCCTACTCAACCACTCATCCACCCACCTACTCAACCACTCACCCACTCACTCAACCACTCAACCACCTACTCACCCACCCACTCAACCACTCAACCACTCACCCACCCACTCACCTACTCACCACATACTCACCCACTCAACCACTCACCCACTCACCCACTCGCCTACTCAACCACTCATCCACCCACCTACTCAACCACTCACCCACTCACTCAACCACTCAACCACCTACTCACCCACCCACTCAACCACTCAACCACTCACCCACCCACTCACCCACTCCCTCACTCAACCACTCACTCACCTACTCACCCACCCACTCACCCACCCACCCACTCAACCACTCAACCACTCACCCACCCACTCACTCACATAACCACTCAACCATCCACTCAACCACTCACTCACCCACCCACTCACTCACTCACCCACCCACTCACTCACTCAACCACACACCTAATCACCCACTCAACCACCCACTCACCCACTCACTCAACCACACACTCAACCACACACTCAACCACTCACTCACCCACTTACTCACATACTCACTCAACCACCTAATCACCCACTCACTCAACCACTCAACCACCTACTCACCCACCCACTCAACCACTCAACCACTCACCCACCCACTCACCCACTCCCTCACCCACTCACTCAACCACTCAACCACCCACCCACCCACTCAACCACTCACTCACCTCCTCCTTCACTGGTCGCTTCGCTCCCTGCCATCACCCCCTCCATCACCTCCTCCGTCGGCGTCCTTCACCCAAATCCTCATTTTCCGCCTTTCTCCCTCCACCCCTAAAATCGCCTTACCTCCACCCATCTTCCCCCTTCATCGCCCTCTTTCGCCGCTTCACCTCCCTCACCCTGTCCACTCCACTCCCTCACTCCCTCGCTGCCTCCTTGACCTGAAATCGGCTTTCCCCAAACTCCCCCAAATCGCCCTAAAAATGTGCCATTTCACCTCCCTTCACCTCTTTTAACTCTCCCTTAATCCACCTTCAATCCAAGTATAATGATCACTACAATGACGTTCATTACCTTACTGAGGACGCCAGGGGAAAAGCCTTGGATGATATTGATGCCCGCCGTATCTCTCTTGGTACGCTTGCTGGACAGCTTTCGGGTTTTATTGGCGGTGGAGATGAAGTTCAAAATGCATTGTTGAATGGTTTGCACAGTAATGTAAACCAGCTTGAAAAGCTTTTAAAAACATCTTGCGGAGGAGAGGGGTGTTGTAATGATGCTGTGAATTTCCGTGTTGGACCTCTTAAAAATCTTCAAAATACATTTGAAAAATATGATGAAATTGAGAGAGAAATTAAGAAGCTTAATAAGCAAAACGATGAACAAAGGAAGGCGTCTGTAAAGACGCCGTCCGTCAGTGGTCCTGAGATTGCTGAGCTTGAAAGGCTAATTGAGCAAAAAAATCAGGAACTTGAAAAGCAAAAGGAGAGCCGTGAAAGGCAAATTAATGCGCTTAAAAATGCTTTAATGTGCCTAAAAGCAAAATTGAGTCTGAGATCTCCAACCGTCAAAAGAGTGTTGCTGAGCTTGATAGGCAAATTGAAGCAGAGCGTAAAAGGCAAATTGATGATTTTCAAAAACAGGGATATGATGCTGAAAAAGCAAAAAAATATGTCTCCATTCCTATCATCTTTCCAATTCTCTTGAAACTGAGCAGGCTAAATTGATGTCTCATGAGGCTTCGTTGGAGTCTCTTGAAAGTCTTGGAATGCTTATTACATTTCATCAGAGTGTTCAAACTCCTCAAAGTGGAGAATGTGAAAACATTTTAGATAAATTGTGTACAGGTCTCCAAACATTTTTAGGGTACAATGAAACTTCCAAAGGCTACGATGGCACTGGCATCGTGTACTCGGACCTTGACAGGCTGTGCGACGGGGTGATGTCTTTCCTTCATGGAGTTCTTGAGAGTGTTAAGGATGATCCAAGCGTTTCCACATATAGCTTTATATCACAAAAGACCTTAATAAAATTTTAGAACATATGCATCGTGGTGATTATGGTTTCGTGTTTGCATAGATCATGTGAATCGTGTGCTTCATGACTATGATGATGAACTTAATAAGCGCACAAAAAATGTAAATAAATCACTTAGCGAACTTAGTGATCACTTAGGTAATAAATATGTCACACAAGTAAATGAGAAGATTAGTGCTTCACTCACCGACCAGTTGACTGCTTGGCGGTCGACGGTCGAAAGCCTCGAAACTGAGGTCAATAATATTCTAACTGATAACATTAATGTGTTAGATATTTCACTTAAAAGTAGTGTATTGCATGAATTCATGCCTGTGAAAAGTGTGGTAGAGCATATGAGAAGTGTCGCCTTCGATGGGCAGATGGAGACGCAGGTGAGGCGTGTCGATGAGCACTTGCTGGCGCAGAGAACATTGATTCTAAATAACACAAACGAGCAGTGTTGCGTACTTCAGACAAAATTAAAAGATAAATTTGATAATGTTCTGGAACACATTCGTGGTCTTAGGCAGAGTAAAAAATGGCATTTCCATATTATGGAGAGTACATTGAAGAAATTTCAACGGTTCGTTGATGAAAAATATAACAACGACTACAGAAACAAAATTTGGAGCCATTTCAACGAAATACAAAATAAAGTCAATGATGCCTACGATGCATTAACCACCAAGAGACTGCAACTTGTGCATCTAGTTACACAAGCTCAAGAGGAATTTTTAATTTTGAAAACAAATACACAGGAGAGTGTGTCAAAAAGTACAGATGATCCCAGCATACAACATAATTGGGCAGCGCTAAAAAGCCAAATAGCATGGGATGTCGGTCAAATCGTCAACGACAACCAAACATCCGGCCACCTTGACGCCATCGTAAAGGCAATCGAAGGGTATGCTAAGAAGTTCAATAAACATGGGATGTTTGGGACCCAAATCGTTGCAGGGTGGTTAAATGGAATCTTCGACAAGGAGCCGGTTAAGGGATTAGTTGCAACCTATATTGGGAGTAGTCTCAGGAATAATGTGGTTGCGGTAGAAAAGCTAAAATTCATAGTAACTGCATGGATAAAAACAATGGCAGGTCACGTCACGACGTCACCCACATTTAATGAAACCGTTGAAGATCATCTCCGAAATATCCAGAAGTTTTTCAGTGAGTTCGCCAAAAAAGTTGATCCAGATAAACCTGGTGAGATGGTGGAGTACGTGCATTTGCAGTTCCAGCAGACTCTGCGTGGCCGTCCACTCCCTAACAGCCAAACGGAACTCGAACCCGCAGTGAAAGCAATTCTGACCGCCGTCCACTGTGCGGCTCTGCAAGTTGGCGAGGAACTAAAATCTTTCACCTCTGACACCATCAGCAAGTATGACCTCGGTATTAAACTAAAAGCGGCTATAGCAGAGGTCGATAAAATTAAGCAGCAAATTGACAGCAAGAAGGCGTCAGAGTACAACAATGGCGTCGGCAAAAAAATTGATGACGCATTGTTAACCGTTCAGAGTAAGATTAAATCACTTGATAGATATTTAGTTAATGAAAGTGGCGATGAGTCAATTCGCAAGGGTATTGGAGATATTAAGACAGATGTTCTTGATAAGCTTGATAAGCTGCAGAATGTGAAAGACGAGACAAATAGCATTGAAAGTAGGAAGACTAAGGCCGATGAGCTTATGAACAGTTTGAAAAATGAAATTCAAAACAAGCTTATCGAGTTCGAATTAAATCTCACTTCTGCAGACGATGCGTTGACCAAGACCATTGATTCTGTCTATAGCGCTGCGGTTAAGGCAAGAGGATATCAAGCTCACCGTACAACAACTCAACAAAACGCTTCTCGAAACCACCGAATACGCCTTCAAAAAGTGACTGATGAAGTCCAGAAGCTTTTGCCGAAGGACACAAATCCCACCTGACTGCCTTGATATCGTTGGTTGACACCAAAATTCCCAAATGAAAACGATAATCGACGACGATTTGAACACCGGCCTCAAAGGCCTCCTCAAGACTCTGAAAGAAAATCATGAGAGGCTGCAAGACATGGCAACGAAACATAAATTTGAAAATCGCGCATCCATTTTAGAGCCTATTTGGAGCCTATTTTCAATTTCACTCTTTTCGACCTCCCCAAACATCTCCCCAACTCCCAATACTCCCCCCAACTCCAGTCCATCCACTCCGCTCTGACCACCTCCTCCTCACCTGTCCGAGCAAAACACTTCACCCACCAGGTCCCCGGAATGCTCTGCGGAACTCAAGACATCCGTCCAAGCACTCCACTCCACAAACTTCGCCAATCCCGCGTACCCGTGCTCGACGCTTTCCCCAGAGCCCTGGTGCGCTTCGTCGAGCAGCTGCAGAGGGGGTACGTGAATAGGTATGAGGGGTCTAAGCCGATTACGTGGCAGGAGCATTTTTCGAATAATCCAACGGAGGAGAGTAAAATGACTGCTAAAATTTTTCTCAGCGTGTTTTCCATCCTGAACACAAATTTGAGTGAGTTGAGAAAGAGGTGCAAGGTGGATTGGAGAGGTGATCAAATTAATGAATTCACGGAGCTTGGGACATTCTTCTCCGATAATGGTTTCGTAGTGTCCGACAATAATAAACAGAACGGCGAGTTGCAAAAACAAAGAAGGGATGAACGGAACAAAGTCGTCGGATGCCTTG